AGAGAGAGAGAGAGAGAGAGAGAGAGAGAGAGAGAGAGAGAGAGAGAGAGAGAGAGAGAGAGAGAGCACGAAAGAAAACAAATAGCGTGGGAAATACCGAGTCATATTTATCGGTATGTTTTATTTTTATTTACTGTTATTGAAAAACTGTGTTTTGCGCTAGTATTCCTATTTAACGGAGTTGCGACTTTCCTCTTTCGTCGCGGGATCTTATTCCAGAGCTTGGGACTGCTTTTCTCTTTCTCGTCCCCCACCTCTCTCTCTCTCTCTGTGTCTCTCTCTCTGTGTCTCTCTCTCTGTCTCTCTCCCCGTCCTGTCTCTGTTTATGGTAGCTTATTCTCCTCTCTCCACTCTCTCGTTTTTTTTATGGCACTTCTCATTCTCTCTCTCCTGTCTCTCTCCTCTCTCGCGGTTTTTTATGGTACCTCTCTCTCTCCCTGTGAATTTGCCCGTAAGGAACATTGGCCCACGATAACTTCCACCCCATCGGAGGTCGTGCCATGATAAATTGTATCCGACGTGAAGGAAGGACGACCAGAGCGGGAGATGGGGAGGTGATTCTCCATACCCAGAAGGGAAGAAGGAAGCGGCAGCAGTAGCAACAACAGGATTGGAGAGATAGATAGATAGATAGATAGATAGAAAGAGAGAGAGATAGAAAGAGAGATAGATAGATAGATAGATAGATAGAGAGAGAGAGAGAGAGAGAGAGAGAGAGAGAGAGAGAGAGAGAGAGAGAGAGAGAGGAACGCGGAAGGGGGTCTGGAGGGGTGCGATATTTGTATTTCTCGGGGGCAGAAGGGAAGGTACGTCTAGGAGAGTGATGATGATGGGTGAGGGGGGGAGTGGTAGAGCACCGATGGATTCGTCCGGGGGGGGGCCCAGCTGCACTGTTGTGTGGTTGAGAAGGGACTTGCGTTTGGAGGACAATCCTGCGCTCATTTGGGCAGCGAGGGCAGGAGCCGTCGTGCCAGTGTTCATCTGGTCTCCAGAGGAAGAAGGGCAATTTTATCCGGGACGGGTTTCTCGATGGTGGATTAAACAGAGTTTGAAGCATTTAAACAATGCTTTGCAAGTTTTGGGCTCGAGACTCATCATGAGGAGGAGCAGGGATTCGCTCTCCGCTCTCCTAGAGATTGTCGAGGCGCTAGGCGCCAAACAGGTCTTCTACAATCATCTATACGGTAAGTTTATTTTTCTGTTCTTTTCGATCGTATGTGTTCATTTTTTCATTTCTTTCTTTCTTTCTTTCTTTTTTTTTTTTTTTTTTTTTT